TCATTTCAGTAGAGGATACTAAGGTATCCTAGATAAGTTATAGGTGTATCACTAGTAATGGGTTCAAATTCTAGAGAATGTGTTGGGCTTTTTGGTTGTTTTGGTTTTTGGTTTTGTTTTTTTTTTGGTTTTTTTTTGTTGTTGTTTTTTGTTGTTGTTGTTTTTGTTTAAACATTTGTGACTTCGTATTCTCTTCTCCCCCTACCTCCAGCATAGTCTTAATTTTCAATTAACCCTCTTCCATGTTTATGATGACCATAGTTACCAGGGCTGCAAAAAACAGAGTCCATTTTACCCTCTGTTATTGCTAGAGCTTTAAAAAACACTCAATAGTCAAACAAAGGATTGCATAAGAAGAAAGAAATCCTACTAATAGTTTCTATTCAACTCTCCCAATTCCATGACTCATGGGTTTACTGCTGATTTATACTCCTATAGAATAACAGAGCACACAGTAAGTTAAGCAGACATGAGGAAATGGAGAGTATAATGGGAGCAAATTAATGAAAATCAATAGTTTCAAAGACTAAAGTGCACTGATAATAAAGCTCATGAGGTTTACAGAATTAGTCTGATTTCACCATTTTCAAATAAGAAAATTAGACGACACTTTCAATGCAGTGTTCTCTCAAGTGTGTAGTTTAAAAGATTACCTTCCTAGTTTAATCAAACTTGTAATAAATAATAATGAATAATTATTAATTATATTGCAGGCACACCGGCAAGGGAGAAAAGTGTGCCTTGATTAGGACTTCTAAGATCCCCTCTCAATCCCTCACACATACAGTAGAGAGGCAAAGCCAGCCCTGTCTCACACACCAAATTTTACCTGGTAACCTAACAGACAGACAACATCTCTGCAACATCAGACATTGAATTCTTCTCATCTAGTTTTAGACAACAAGCCCACATTAGCCTTTCCAATCATCCCTTGCAATCAGTGAAAGGAAGAAATGCACCCCCAGAAGACAGTTCAGCAGGTCTTGGACATACCTTAGACCCCCCCAAATGGCTGCTCATATTATTCTGTTTCTTCCCTCTGTCTACCGAACTGGCCTAATGTCGCTTCCTCAGACTTGAGACCAACTCTTCCCCACATCCCAGGTTAGACATCTAACAACATTTCTTTTCCCTTTCTTTCCTCAAGCAACGTTGGCTAAGGCTCCTCAGTCTCAGCTTCTTGGCACCTCAGAAGGAAAGCCAAGTTCCAGAGGTGGAGCTAGACACAAGCATCATCAACTTCAATGACTTTGAGAGGGCAAAGCAAACACACAAAAGACTGTTCCTTTAAAAAAGGATTACACCCCAGTTTCAGTTACTTTTTTTTGTAGCAGCCATTTTTGTGAGGCAAAGTAAATAACCCAAGTTGTAGACACAGTGCATAGTAGTAACTCTGTTGTTAAATGTATGGAGGGCTATCCTACTGATGCAAGAACTTCCAAGTGAACCTGACTGCATCTTCATGGGAAAAGTCCCACTGCTTGGATAACAGTAATTATCTGAAATGATGAGCTGAAAACTGTGCTACTAAGAATTTAATTTAAAACTGCATCAGCTGCATGCCCTTCCCCATGTCCTCACTATCCAGACAGGAACTCCTGTAAAAGTGAAAGCCATAAGTTAGTATGAAAAGTTAATAGCCTGGCTCTGTAAACACTTTAGCAGGTATTTCAGCAGAACATCTTGCATCCTGAAAATTAAAACATGCAAGTGTTTGAAGAAATAAAGTCTAAAATTGTTGGTTTGATTGCTGGTTTTGTTTTGGTTTTTTTTTTTTTAAGTAATGACATTCAAAAGGGTAACTTTGATTCTTACCAAGAAAGAGAGTTCTACAACTTCACAACAGCATCCAACACATTGACAAACAAATTTTCCTACTGAAGTACCTAAGGTGGGATGAGAGCACAGAGAACACTTCATACCATTCACTCAGGCAGAGGTAAAGGTCCAGTGAGACCTAAGTCAGAACTGGCGCTTGGGCTTTAAGAAGTTCAAATTGCTGGGGCACAGCAGCAATTTCTCCCACATTGTTTCCTGGGACCTGAGATTTCAAGACACCAACATCAGAAACACAAAAAATGGGATGAAGTCTCTCTAAAACCCTGAGGAGATTTCAGAAGTAGAACATCTTTAAACATACTGTCCATGAAAGACAAAGACCCTCAGGGTGAGGTGAGGTAAGGTAGTGCTTCACATACCTTCTAAGACCCTTGGGAGAATCATCCACTCCCTCCTTTCCCTGCCAGCTAACCCCTTCCCCCATGAATTCTAGTTTCTTCATGAACTCTTCTAAAGACCTGCATTAAAAGGCAGGGCTTAATCTAACTTGTTCACAACAAAATAGCAAAGAAAATACTTCTGAGAGCCACTTGTTTTTTTACTTGCATTACTCTATTACCAGCCATGTAAGAAGCAAATTTTCCCTTATTTCCTCTATGTAGCAAAAGACAGGCTACATAAATAGAGATCTGAAGAAAATCCAGATTTTTTGCTTCTCCTGCTATGAGGAGAAACAAAAAATAATCCAAAATACACTTAACAGCATCTTCATCAAATACATGGCACAAGAGATCTAATACCTTGGCACCAAATTCATAACGTAGCATGTCCTGCTCAGAAAAAAACTCACTGTCAGATATTTAACCAATTTAGCCTTATTTTCTGACTCCACAGCTGGAAAGTAGAAACGTTGAGCTATTCAATGAATGCTAATGTCTCAAATACATTCAGAAGCTTTAAAGGATGACTTAAAAATAATCAGTACGTTTTATGTTAGACACATATGCTAGTTTCTTGCCTATTTTCGACATATAGTCTCCTCATTCTCAATTCTCAGTTCAAACATTTAAAAAAAAAAGGCTTAGATGCACACCTCTAATAGTACAGTACTCCAGCAGAGTAGTTTAGGCTTGATGCCAACTTTACCAGGAGCAAAGATATTCACAGCAGAGACAAACCGTACTTTGGGGTTATCTGATTCATTTTACAGCTCCTTGAAAAGCTTAAGTCAAGCTACATGATTATTAAGAGAAAATAAAGGGGAAAGTGAAAAGGTAATACAAGAAGCAATGGGTAATAAAACAATGCAACAAATAATTATTCAGAGCACTTTCCTCACTTACATAAAGACCAATGAGACAAAGGGAAGTTTTCTCTGAATCAATAACCAAGAAGTGCAATGTCACACTAACCAAATCATTCACTAACTAAACAAATGTTTAAGAAAGCAGTACCAAGTTGTGATGGCGAAATGTCACATTTCTGCCTTCAATCAAAAAATCAGTAATTATCCACCAAACAGTCACTGTGACCTCCTTTGTAATTCAATTCAAAGTTTTAAGTTTAGTTCACATAATGTTTTTATTTAAGAGCACTGAGACCACTACTCCACTTTTAATGCCTACTTGTGATCTTTGCAATTCCATTTAACACTCTGTTATTGTCTTCCTAATATTTTTCACAAGAGAGGAAAAAGGACTTCAGTGGCAAATTATGTATTTTCAGACACTTCCATGAATATTACTCTTCCTTCCTATGTCGCCGGTTAACATTACAAGTTTACTGATTACTCCTTAAAGCTGTACAGTTAACACCAAGTGATTTTGTGTTTCAAGACATTCACAGCATCTCTCTTCCATTAGCACACCAATATGTACACTTGTCTCCAGCTAAACATTTTACACAAAATTGTGTGAACTACCTTAACAGTATTCTGCAAGTACAGTCCAAGCCCACAACCATCAATGACAAATTCAAATTATACTGACTGGAGTCATGCTAATGGGACTAGCTTTGCTATATGAGAGGGAAGGAACAAAGGTTCATGTTAAATAACCTTCGAATTGCCACAACAATCAATTTTATCATCTTGATGAACAGACCCTGTTAACATGAGTCCACGTACGTCATGGGCTGTGTGTGTCCTTAAATTACAAGGCACAAACACGTGTGAGTGGTCCTACTGAATGAAAAGTTAAACTTTGCCAAATCATGCAATTAAGATGGACAGTGAAGAGTAAGTTATCCGGAAACTATAACACAAAAAAAAAAAAAAAAACCACAACCAAAACCAACTGGTTTTCCTAACTATTTTCCAGCTGTTGAAGTTACAGTCGTATCATTGCATTGCAAAGGTTTAAGCGAGAATTCAACTCATAACTTCTCACTACACACAGTCAAAATCTATCATACAGATAGAGAGGATCTAATATTAGCCTGAACATCTGCTTTAATGGCAAATAAATCAGAACAAACCCCAAAATTTACTGAATCACCTAGAGCTATCTCGTACCGAGATTACCCATCTGACAACCTTCCCACTTCCACAGTTTCCACAATTTCCATATTTCCACCGACAAGACCTTTTGCGAAACACAAGCACAATACAAGATAAACGCAGAGAGGCAGCATGCACATGACATTCAGAAGTTTTCCCCTGTCGTCACATCATCAACAGAACAGTGTTATTTTTTTCCCTAATACTGCGCTCCCTGCTCAAAGCCTGAGCACACATCGCCTCCTGACTCTCAGCTCTCACAGCGAGCTATCTACACAGCAGCAAGCAGAAAACCAGCCTATCTGACAACAAGAAACACAGGGAAAGAGAGTTTAAGGGCTTCCGGACAGTTCAGACTCCGCTATTATACCACACAGGCAGCTGCAGCCATCCACTAGATTCTGCAGAGGCACTCTTCTTATGCAGAAGAGTGTAACGCTTTGTTAAAAACAAGTTTCCGAACAACATACAGACAGGAGAAACTTGCATAATAAGCCCCAGCAGAGTTTCTCTCGCGCTACCCTGTGCAAAAGGCGTATGTATATGCGCTGGGTGGAATCAGCGCAAGTTTCAGGCGAAGCGAGCGCATTACAGTTAACAGTCAGGGCGGGAAACAGCCCAAACTAGACGCTCCTCTGGGAGATAGGCTTTTTTAACCATCACTTATTCATTCATTTCTCCCGACCGCTCCTCACAGCCGCCGAGCTCCGCGGCCGGCACTTACCTGAGGGTGCGGTTGCCGGCGCAGCCGCGGCGCTCCATGGCGGCAGGCACGCAGCTGGTGAGCTCGGTCCAGTCGGCGTGCAGCCCGCAGCTCCAGCCGGTGGAGAAGCGGGAGAAGAGCCACGTGTCCTTGTCGCCGCCCGGGCGGTGGCAGGCGCACTTCTTTTGCCCGGCGCGGCAGTAGCAGGGCTGCTCCAGGCGGATGTTGCGCACCAGGTGCCTCCCGAAGGTGGTGCCGCCTGTCTTCTGGATGTGGAGGAAGACGATTACGTCTCGTCCCCGCATGTCGAACCGCACGCGCCGACACAGCTCCCCCCGCGCGAAAGCGAACTTGGCCACCAGCCGCGGCAGGGCCGCCGCTGCCTCCGCCGCCTCCTCTTCCTCCGCGGTACCCGCTGCCGCCTCCCCCTCCTCCCGCTCCGCCGGGCCCCCCCCACGGCGGGCGGCGGAGGCCGGCGGGCGGCGGGCGCAGGCGGCACCGGGGCAGGCGGGCGACACATACTGGTAGACGATGAGCAAGAAGAGCAGCGCCAGCAGCGGCGGCAGCAGCCACCTGTTGAAGCGCTCGTCCATGGCGGTGCGCGGGGGGCAGCGCGGCGCGGGATCAGGCGCTGCCGGGCGCTGACAGGGCGGCCGCCCCGCTCGGATCCCGCAGCCGAGGGTCTCCCGGCTCCCTTCCTGACGGCATGGTCGTGGCAGGCGGCTGCGGCTGGGCCGGGCTCCGCTCCCCTCAGCGCAGCGCGCCGAGCCGCAGCCTGCCCGAGGCGGTCATCCCGCTCCCCTCGGCTGACGGGAACCGGCACCCGCCGAGCGGGACCGCCTCGCGCCGAGCCCTACACGCGCAGAGTCCGCTCCGCCGGCAACTCCAGCCCAAACACACCGCTCGGCCCCCGCCCGCCAGCCAATCGGGGCGAAGCCGGCCGCTTGAGCAGCCAATGGCCGGGCCTAGCACGCCGGCTCCGCCGCCAATGAGTGCGTGCGGCGAGTGAACGGGGGGTGGTGGGAGTCGCTCCTCGCTCCCCTCCAGGTATCGGACGGAGAGGGATCGCGCGCGGGTGACGGGAGAGGGGGGGGGGGGGGGGAGGGGCAGAGGCGCAGCAGCAGCGAATGAGGAGCCGGGGGCGGAGCGAAAGGCAGCCAATGAGATTAACGAGGGGGCTCCGCCAGGTGAGCGGGGCTCCTGTCAAGGATCGCCGCAAAGCGGCGCGGGAGGGCTTGCGCGGCGCGGGCCGGCGGGCCCCTGCCGGTGCTTCGCGCCCCTTCAGGCCCGTGTGCGGTTCGTCGAGGCCACGGAAATAAGTAACGTGTGCTTTTTGATTTTAAACTCAGTAATATCCCGTTATTTGGGCTTGGGGTTTGTGTGCGTGTTTGTACTGTCTGCAGTTCCAAGCCCGTGCTTATGACCTCTCGTGGTTTAAACCCAGTCAGGTAATTCGTTTGCTCGCTTCCCCCCCCTTTCTTGCCCTCCCCCTGCTCTCGGAGGGACGGAGAGGAGAATCGAAAAGAATGCAACTCCCACGGGTTGAGATAAGAACAGTTTAGTAACTAAGGTATAACACAAATCACTACTGCTACCACCAATGATAATAATGATAAAGGAAATAACAAGGGAAGAGAATACATCATCTCACCACCAGCCGACCGATAACTAGCCCCCCAGGCCCAACCAAGCTCCGACCGATACCTCCTCCAACCCTGCAGTCTCCCAGCCCTTCCAGATAACTCCCAGTTACATCCTGGGCATGATGTGCTGTGGTATGGAATACCTCTTTGGTCAGTTTGGGTCAGGTGTCCTGTCTCTACTTCCTCCTGGCTTCCCCTCCTCCCTGGCAGAGCATGAGGCTCACAAAGTCCTTGGCCAAACCAAAACATCGCTTGTTATCAGCTCTGTTCCCGAGCTGAAAGTCAAAACACTGCACTGCACCAGCTACCAAGAAGGGGAAAAATGACTGCTACTGCTGAACCCAGGACATTATCCACCCCTTATTCCATACCATTCACGTCATGCTCAGATCCCACATTTTCAATATACCATCACTCTTATCTCAGTGCACTCTTATCTTAGTGCATGGACCAGTCCCTATAAAGCTGCTGAGTCCATCTGGTCCATGATGTCAGGCTCCATCTCTTGTAACAGTCTTCCAGAGCAGGAGAGACTGTGTGCAGTGTTCACACTCGTGAATAACCTGGGCAATAGTGTCCATTGCTAAGTCCACCCCTCGATCATGAGTCCATCTCTGTGTTGCATCTCTGCTCTGATGGCCTGAAGTGCATTGGGCCCACCAGGCTCAAAATAATTCACTGTCCCCTTCAGCAGTTTCTGCAGCTTGTTGCTGGGGACTCCACACAGCTGCCTTCCATCTCCGATGCTTCCAAAGCACTGGAGGGGCCCAGTGGACTAGATACTTGCCCATACTGTCCCACACACCCTGCCACTCATGACTGTCCAGCTTTGGGGAAAATCTCTTGGTCCCCCCATATCGTCGTCTAACCCCAGACAAGACCCAAACCTGACTCTGCTTAACTTTTGAGATCAGACAAAATGGTTTTGGGTAGAACACAGTCTGTGTGTGTGCCAACATGCTGATCCCCATCACAATCAGCAGGCAGGTCCCAAGGATGCCCAAAGGCCATTCAAAACCTTCAGAACTCTCACACGATGCTGCTGTACTTGTCACTGGGGCTGGTGTAGCTGCTGTGCTTGCCGGCTCTCCCACCGCCAGCTTCTCTTTTCCTGAGTCCAGCTCTTCCTCCTCTGCCTTGCTGGGAAGTGCTGCGTGGTCTCCTGCATCCTCCTGGGGCTCGGCGGGCGGCTTCCGGGAAACGCTCTCGGCCGTCGCGGGGCTGGGCTCGGCCGCGGGGCTCGGCTCCTCCGCGGGGCTGGGCTCGGCCGCGGGGCTCGGCTCCTCCGCGGGGCTCGGCTCGGCCGCGGGGCTCGGCTCCTCCGCGGGGCTCGGCTCCTCCGCGGGGCTCGGCTCCTCCGCGGGGCTCGGCTCCTCCGCCGCCTTCTCCCGCTGCTCGGCAGCCGCTTCCTTTTGCTCTTCGACCGCCCCGACCTCCTCCACCGGCAGCCGTCCCCTCGCGGCCTCCGGCCCCGCTCCCGCCGCCGCTTGGTCCCCGGGGCCGCTCTCCTGAGCCGCTTCAGCTGCCGCCGGCTCCCGGGGCCGCTCCCCCTCGGCTCCCCGCAGCCTCACGAAGATGGAGAGTAGGGTGAGGGCCAGGACGGTGAAGAGCAGCCGGACGGCCAGGTACAAGTCCACGGCCACGTCCGTCCCGCCCTGCTGCTGGAGCCCGCCCGTATTACAAGCCATTGCCATAAAGCACAGTGAGACAAGAACCTTAGCCCAGGCCCCACACTTGATAAACACTAACACAGCAAATACCGGCTCTACATAAGTTACAACATTCTGAAGCTGTGAGATCAACAAGAACAACTCTGAGAGCCAATAAATCAGCATTGTGACGAATGACTATTAATTCGGTCAGATCTGTTGTTATCTCAACCCTTCGTGCCCCACGTTGGGCGCCAAAAAGAACTCTCGTGGTTTAAACCCAGTCAGGTAATTCGTTTGCTCGCTTCCCCCCCCTTTCTTGCCCTCCCCCTGCTCTCGGAGGGACGGAGAGGAGAATCAAAAAGAATGCAACTCCCACGGGTTGAGATAAGAACAGTTTAGTAACTAAGGTATAACACAAATCACTACTGCTACCACCAATGATAATAATGATAAAGGAAATAACAAGGGAAGAGAATACATCATCTCACCACCAGCCGACCGATAACTAGCCCCCCAGGCCCAACCAAGCTCCGACCGATACCTCCTCCAACCCTGCAGTCTCCCAGCCCTTCCAGATAACTCCCAGTTACATCCTGGGCATGATGTGCTGTGGTATGGAATACCTCTTTGGTCAGTTTGGGTCAGGTGTCCTGTCTCTACTTCCTCCTGGCTTCCCCTCCTCCCTGGCAGAGCATGAGGCTCACAAAGTCCTTGGCCAAACCAAAACATCGCTTGTTATCAGCTCTGTTCCCGAGCTGAAAGTCAAAACACTGCACTGCACCAGCTACCAAGAAGGGGAAAAATGACTGCTACTGCTGAACCCAGGACAGACCCCAGTGTTTTCCATATAACTGGATTGGACAACGTAATGACTACACAGCTAATTAATTGTAGATTCAATGACCTGCAGTGCTGTTGGTTCTTGCGGTCTTCAAAGCACAGAGTCGCACAGTGTTCTTTGCAGAACGCTATCTCCCTGAGGCAGTAACATCAATTCCCCTTTATTAAAGTCCCAAAAGTTGATTTATTCAGTTTTCAGAAGTTGTTTTTTCACACCCCTTAACATATTTACCACAGTCCTCAGTCTGAAACTGTGCTGTTTACTGACTTCACAGAATCATAGAATGGTTTGGGTGCAAAGGGACCTTAAAGCTCAGCCAGTTCCAACCCCTCTGCCACAGGCAGGGATGCCTTCCACTAGACCAGGTTGTTCCAAGCCCTGTCCAACCTGGCCTTGGACACTGCCACGGATGGAGCAGCCACAAGTCCGGGCACCCTGTGCTTCACCACTCTCACAGTGACATTCAGCTTACGGGTCACAGCTGAGATTTGTCAAAAAAAACCACAACCCACTGTTTTGTCTGTGGTGAGTTCTCTGTGTTTTTAAATGTCTGTTACACTTCATATCCAAATACAAGCCTTGTCTAGCTCCTGGATAATAGTACATTAATATGCAAAGCATTTCATGTTGGAACTGATTGCACATCTCGGTTATTTAATTACAGAATGCCTTTATTTACTGAGGGATTAATTAGATATCTGACAGTGCTAAAGCAACTTTCTTACTTAACTCTAAAGACAACTTCACCTCTGGAAGGCTGGTAACAGAAGAGTATAGCCTTCCCATGGGACCATTTAACTTTAGAACTTGAAAAAAAACAGTTGCACGAATGTACTTTAAGCTGAAGATCTTTAAATAGAAAGTTAGAGTATTTGGGCTCTTGGAACAGAGTATCAGCTCCCATTAAAGCTTGCCAGAAATAACAGAAATTACCAAAAATTAGTCTAAACAAAAGAATGTTGTGAAATGTTCCAGAAGTTGCTGCCAGACAATCAAGGGCATGCACCACCCAGTGTCAAGCACACAAACATACAGCACACACATACACATTTCCACAGTCCCACAGCACTGTTAGGGTTTTACATTGGTGAAAGTCTGAGAGCAGCAAATTCTTGTGTCTTGCAAAGACATCAAAAGAGATGAATTTTTATCTTCAGTGAGATTTTCTAAGGAGAAAGCCATAGGTTACACGGTGAAACTGCAAAAAATGCAGAGTCTGGTGTCAAATGAAACTACTCAGTCTTCTTCATATAATGACAAGAGGTGTGCACCCACTCACTCCTACCAAAGTGAAGAACAGCATTTTTGTCTTGGAAAATCACCATATTGCCACCAGGAGCAGCGGAGCATCCGTTCTCCCATTCTCCCATTCTCCCTAGGGAGACCTGACTTTCTTTGCTTTGCCCACCACCATGCTCCCCTGTTTTCAGACTCCCCGTGCCTCCTCCCAAGTGTGGACTTAATGAGGTTACCTTTTAACCTCAGTCTTTTACTGGGTGACAGGGAGCCTATCCCAGAGAAATGTAAATATTTATACATGGAAGATACAGGAGCACTTTGTTCTCACCTCAGCCTATTCATTACCTAACAAACAACCACAAAAAACAAACCCCAAAACAAAACCCCCCTAAAGCAGGAACATTAAATATAGCCTTGTTTCAGTAACAGAATAGCACTAGCAAGGCTTCTGAGGGTAAATTTGTATCTGGAATAAAAGCACT